AGTATTATGATCAGTAATAATATGATTTTGTATTAGTATTGCAATCACAAATATATAATATGATTATAAGATTTTACTATTTATTTTCATGTTGTTTTTTTAATATGAATGTAATTGTGTAGTTAATAGGTTAATTGAAAACTTGATTATTAAATAAAATTTAAGTGATTTATTTTATTTTGTTTTTCAAAATTCAAATTATCGCATATGTATAAAAATATAAATTTATTATATATGTTTGATGCGGTGATTAATTCAGAAAGAAGTAAACAAAGAGAATAAAAGAAATATAATAATTTAAAAATACTTTATATTATATAATTGAATAAGAATTGAATATACAGTAAAACCTATATAAATTAATAAATATCGGGATTTTGATAGTTTATTAATTGATAATAGTTTAAGTATAAATTAATAAATTATTAATTTATAGAGGAGAAAATTTATTTTTGTTCATATTCTTCTTCAATTTATTTCAAATGATGATATATTTAGAAAACTTAACAATACTTGTAAAATTGCATACAAAAACTTAAAATTATGATTATTAATTTTAATAATTGCATCGTTTTGGGCTATAAATGTTTTAGGTGCTTACACTGTCAACAAAAAAAACTAAAAAATCGCATCCACAATCACAATAGAATAGCTGTTAACTGTAGACATGATTATCCATGTAAAAAAAATACATAATTAATAGTACAAAAATTATAAGAAATTATAACTACTGTCGTTAATGTTGATGATGAAAATGAAAATATTAACACAATACATTTGAAAACATTTACGTATAAAAAAACAATCATCTAAAAATTTTCATAAATTTTGGACGCAAATAGAAAAATCATTAAAACTGTTGATGTAAGTTAATAAAGAGATGAATTTCAATGAAATTTTAACTTTAAGTAATAATAAACAATATATTAACCATATTTTACTATATACTATCTTAGATATATATATATCAATCTAAATAATTATTAATTTATGTTTTTGTTGGAACCATATATTTACATATGAGTTTAAAAAACAGTAGAAGTTTAACTGTAAAAAATAATTAATATAATATAATTAAATCTCAATTCTTTTTATTCTATTTGATTGGCTAATAAAAATATATTGAAATTATTTATTAATTTTTTGTTTGTCTAATTAAAGAAAGAAATATATATATATATATATATATATTTTGAATATTTACTTTGAATGGTTAGTTTAATAAGATATATTTGATTCTCTAACCAAATTAATATCAGTGGCATTGATTGTAACTATTCTATTAATAAAGTACTAGGAATCAAACCACACATGTGTGGAGTTATGTTTTTTTATAGAGTGATTTACACTCAAAGGCACTTTTTCCACTTCTTGTTACAAAAAAGGCACTTCTGACTATTAGGGGACTTTTTTCTTTTTTTTAAATTTCACATCAAAATAATACAAAAATGCCCCTCGTGTTCACGATAATGGTGGATACAAGTTCGTGGATACTGGTTTAAACCCAGATTTTAAAAACAATAATTTTTTTTTCCCCTTCTATTTTGTTTTGTATTTTTCTGTATTGTGAAATATATAAAATAATTTTGTTTGTTAAAATAAATTCTAAGTTTATTTTGTCATTGTTTTAAGACCCATTATGCTATACTTCATTTATCAAACAAGAAAATTTTCAAATAACCTTTATAAAAAATTAAAAAAAAAAAACAAATCTGGACACGATTGCGTGGATATGTTTTCATTGAAAATATATGATGTGGATGATGCATGATGGACATATAACATGGACACGATTGCGTGGATATGTTTTCATTCATATATTTGACATGAATATGCATTTTACATTGTCTATAATATATCCACATTATCATGTCCATGTTCTTGACAATGTAAAATGTATATCCACGTCGAATATATGAATGAAATCATATCCACGCAATCATGTCCATGTTATATGTCCATCATGCATCATGTGAATAGATTATAGACGTTGTAAAATATATATCCATGTCGAATATATCAATGAAAACATATCCACGCAATCATGTCCATATTGTAGACAATGTAAAATGTATATCCACGTCGAATATATCAATTAAAACTAATCCACGCTATCATGTCCATGTTTTATGTCCATCATGTATCATCCATATCTTATTTTGTAAATGGATATCTAACTACACTTGTGTTTTTTTGAATTTTTTATAAATGCTTTTTGAAAAATTTCTTGTTTGATAAAATAAACTATAGTATAATGGATCTTAAAATAATGAGAAAATAAAATTATGATTCATTCTAAAAAAAAAATTATTTTCAATCTTTCACAATATTGAAAAATACAAAACAAAACAGATGGGGGAAAATTTAATATTTTTAAAAATTTGGGTTTAATCGGGTATCCACTCGTTTGCATCCACCGTTATCGTGAACACAGAAGGCAAATTTGGTTTACTTTTAGGGTGTTCGTTTTATTAAGGGGCAAAAAAATCCAAAAAAATTTGAAAACAAAGAAAAGTCACCTAATAGCAAGAAGTACCTTTTGCTGTAATATGAGTTGTAAAAAGTGTCTTTGGGTGTAAATATCTCTTTTTTATATTCTTTTAATTAATTTCAATTTTTTAGTTAAATTAAAATTGGTGAGAAAAATCATTTAACAAGAAATATAAATAAACAATTGGTGGTAATTAGATAACAATACATATATAACTATCACACAATTGATGTTTATTTGTATATATCATTGAATAGAACATTGAGCTAGTTTTGTTTTGCGGTTTAATTATTAGTAGTTTTTAAATGTTAAAGTGATATGATATTAATATATACTTATATACATACTAATATGGATTAGAATCTAAATACATATATACATAAAATAAGAATTTATTTGTGAATATTTTATTAGAGATCAAGTAATAATTTTTAGTTAATGAATATTATAATATGTGTTAATAATGATTTTATATAGGATTTTAAAGTCGACAAACCGTCTACTTAATCGATTTCGCAATTTACTAAAATATTTTTTCGGCCAGCCCATAAAAATATAATTTAAATTTTGAAAACATATTTCAGTTTTTTTATAAAAATATTTCAATTGGTTTTCGAAAATAATACTAATTAATTATAAAAATAAAATAAAAAATATTGCAGAAATTGAACTAGATTTTTTTCAGATATATGGATTGATTGATTATTATTTATAATAATATATTTTAATAAATAAAGAAACTAAATACACTTTTGATTTATATCCATATATATTCAAAAAAAATCTTTGAGTTCTATATTTAAGAAATAAATGTTTATTTATGTAAATATCTACTTAAATAATAATATAGAGATTTTTTCAAAAAACCGTTAAAAAGCTTTGTGGAAGTGATACATAAGCATAAGCATGACAAACTTTGTTAATAACACACGAAACAAATGTTATTTTTAAAGTATCCTTTTCAAATAATAATCTATATACTAATTTGTGTAGTGATTTGCTTATGTGTCACACTCACATCGAGTTTCACAGCCTTTCGTTTACGTGTAAGCTCTAAAATGAGTTTCAACTGTAAAAAGACTTAAAATAAACCTATATAAAATTATTATGATTTAATGTTTAATTTCATAGTCAATCAAACCGTTTTTAAAATTATATATAACCAAAATTTTAAAAACTTTTAACAAAAATATTTTTTTTTGTTTATATGGAATTTTATATCTTTTAGTTTTACCATTTCTTATGTTTCCGAAATTTAGAAAAAATCTAACAAAAATATTAGAAAAAACCAAAAATGGAAATTATTTAAAAAGAATAGAATGTCGTTTTAAAACAAAAAAATTGAAATTTAAAAAAAAAACTCTAGCAAAAAAGTTTTTTTAAAAAAGAAAATGTATATTTAACTAATGGAATGACGGTATTCGTGATGTTTAAAACACATAAAACAGTGATCAAAATCAAATAAATTCATACGGTATTTCAAAAATTATGTTTAAAATATATAAAATAGTGATCAAAAGATCTCAAAACTATTTAAACTAGATTATTTAGATACTACTATGTGTTTATTTACTCTCTTTTATTTTATACTGTTTTCACGATTAGCTCTTCGAACATTAAAATGCAAAGAACTTTAACAAATATATATATTCAAAAATAAAAAATAAAATGAATAATATCTACAATTAGATTTTAAAATAATTAAATTAAAATTATATTAATTCGCGCAAAGGCGGAAAAATTAATAAATATAAAATAATATAAGAATATAAGAATACTTACCTTCCCCAATTGGCTTTTTGCCATTTGAGAATTTGATTCACGAAGTTAGGCCAAATCGATTTCCCCTCCGTCAAGAAGTGAAATTGACATTTGTTTCACGGAATATAATGACTTCCTCAAAATCTCATTACAAGGAGAAGATTGCTGCTCGTCGGAAGTCAGTAATCGTCTCTTTTCCTGTCCTTTTTTCATCAATCTAGGGTTTCGAATCCGTATCTTCAGAATATCTTACTTCTTTAAATTGTTTTCACAGGGAGGAGAAATCAGAGGAGTCCGATAATCTAAAGTACAGAGACCGTGCAAAGGAACGAAGGGAGAATCAAAATCCAGATTATGATCTATCGGAGCTTGGTTCTTTCCACGCCGTTGCTCCTCCCGGAGCTGTCAAAATCAAATAAGTTCATACGGTATTTCAAAAATTATGTTTAAAATATATAAAATAGTGATAAAAAATCTCAAAATTATTTAAACTAGATTATTTAGATACTACTATGTGTTTATTTACTCTCTTTTATTTTATACTGTTTTCACGATTAGCTCTTCGAACATTAAAATGCAAAGAACTTTAACAAATATATATATTCAAAAATAAAAAATAAAATGAATAATATCTACAATTAGATTTTAAAATAATTAAATTAAAATTATATTAATTCGTGCAAAGGCGGAAAAATTAATTAATATAAAATAATATAAGAATATAAGAATACTTACCTTCCCCAATTGGCTTTTTGCCATTTGAGAATTTGATTCACGAAGTTAGGCCAAATCGATTTCCCCTCCGTCAAGAAGTGAAATTGACATTTGTTTCACGGAATATAATGACTTCCTCAAAATCTCATTACAAGGAGAAGATTGCTGCTCGTCGGAAGTCAGTAATCGTCTCTTTTCCTGTCCTTTTTTCATCAATCTAGGGTTTCGAATCCGTATCTTCAGAATATCTTACTTCTTTAAATTGTTTTCACAGGGAGGAGAAATCAGAGGAGTCCGATAATCTAAAGTACAGAGACCGTGCAAAGGAACGAAGGGAGAATCAAAATCCAGATTATGATCCATCGGAGCTTGGTTCTTTCCACGCCGTTGCTCCTCCCGGAGCTGTCGATATCCGGTAAACACTCGTTTTATCGATTGCTCTACTATATATATCTTTTGTCATTGTTCGCTAACTTTCTTTTGGGATACCTTTCGTGTAGTGATGCGGATGCACTAAAGCTCTCTATAGAGAACAGCAAGTATCTTGGAGGTTCGCGTTAGGGTGTTAAAATTGTTCAAACCGTTTGTGATGGATCCTTATTGGTTTTTCTCTAGATGCTTATAATGGGGATAAATATTGCTAGGTGATGTTGAACATACCCATTTGGTTAAGGGGTTGGATTATGCTTTGCTGAACAAAGTAAGGAGAGAAATTGATAAGAAACCTGATGCTGAAGATAATGGTGGGACGACCAGGTAGGTTTTGATATATATTTAGTTTATTGACTCATTTCGGGATGTTTGATTCGAGTTCAAATCTTCCTCCTCGCTAACAGTGTGCCCAAGGAAGATCAACGAGTTACTTTCCGTACCACAGCTGCAAAGGTATGCAACTTTTTGGCGGAATTTTGCAGATGAGGGGCAAGTTTTGTGATGTGGATAACTGATTAATGCCTTTTCTTTGATCTATTTCAGTCAGTTTACCTGTGGATTGTCAAACCACAAACTATTACCAAGTCTAATGAGATCTTCCTTCCTGGTAGAATGACATTTGTCTATGATATGGTAATGATTTTCACCTCTCTTTTTTGGAGTCAGATTCAGTCCTGTTACATGTTCTTATATCTTTGTTTGTCTTAAGACTTATACATATGTGTATTCTGCTTGCACAATTTTACTTCGAGTATGAGACTATGAGTACGTTAAATTTTTTGTCTCTCAGTCGGTTAATCATAGTATTTGTCTAATAAGGTAGCTTCTACTGCTTTGTATTACCCTGTAAAAGATATTATTAGCATAAGAAATCATATAACCGAATTGGTTGAGAAGTATAGTTTATCTTTGTTTTCTGGTTTCAAAAAGAGATCATACAACTTGTGAATGATGACAGTTGAATATGCAATTGGTGTTCGGTAGTATTATGAATGAAGTTTCCTTGAGATGTTTCAGACTAATTTAAGCAAGCTAACTTACTGTATGATTTTAGTCTGCTCTTTGAAGGCCTCTCCTATCTATCATAATAAATTTATTCTCGCTATGGAATTTTATTTGTTGCTTTTTAGGACGGTGGATATACCCATGACATACCAACCACTTTGTATAGGAGTAAAGCTGACTGTCCATTACCAGAGGTATGTATACTTGGAACTCCTTATTGCAATAATCTTCTTGATCCTGGAGATTTCTTAGGACTGTATCCAGGGATTGTTACATATGAAATGGTTATTGTGATTCAAATGAAATTAGCCCACTGCAGCCTCTTCTTTAACAGTGTTGATGCAATTAATACAGATTATAATGCCAGGAGTTTTGGTTGAAGCATATATTTTTCCTGAAGTAATTTCAAGAATCTTTTGAAGATATATTCATCTTTCTTTTTTGCTACTCTTGAACCAAAATTCGTATAGAACTTTAAAATTATACCGAAATCACTCAAGCAGTTGTTGCTAGAATCGTATCATTAACAGGCATTAATGCTCTCTCCGACAGGAACTTGTGACAGTCAATGTTGACGGTTCTGTGCTAGATCGAATTGCTAAAATCATGTCATACCTTCGCCTTGGATCATCGGGAAAAGTTCTCAAGAAGAAGAAGAAAGAAAAAGATGGTAAAGGTATATTGATTCACTCAGTCTTAGCAGTCCTGATTCACTCATAAACTTCTTAAATAGGTCTCCTGTTTATCTTCTTTTCCTCAAATATGCTAATTGAGGACGTAAAGAGATCCCTAGCCTTCAACCACAATCTTAGTAGTATCTAATGGGTTAGTACTTTCTTTGTTATCAATTTTGAAGAAAGTTATTTGTATTGTAGATACTTTTGCTGTGGTGTCTCTGGACAAGTGAACATATGCAGGCGTGGTTCTGTGACCACTTTTTATAATAATTTGTATTATGCTGATGTGGTGCCTGTGATTTAAGTTAAGAGATAGGCTTGTTTCTGATTCTTTAGCGATATCATCATTTGCTGATATCTCTCCTATCTTACCGTTCATGCATTTCGTAGTTTCTTTTTCCCCCAACAATCACATTCACTGCAACTTTTTAATTGCAGGAAAGATGTCAACCATTGCTAATGGATATGAGGAAGAAAGTAATCAATCTAAGATTGAGAAGGAACCTTCTGAGAACACAAGTGAAAGGGAATGGGAAGTTTTGCCTCCTCCACCGTTACCCTCTGGGACCAACCATATGGATTTGAGTAAGAAAGAAGAAGTACCAGCTGTTGCTAGGACAGACGCTGATGACATATTTGTTGGTGATGGCGTCGACTACACTGTTCCTGGTAAAGATGTGACGCAGAGTCCTATATCTGAGGACATGGAAGAATCTCCCAGGGATAAGGAGAAAGTCTCATATTTTGCTGAGCCTGCTTATGGTCCAGTGCAGCCATCTGCTGGTCAAGAATGGCAAGATATGGTCAGTTCGCTCTATCTAATCCTTGGTTGAAATTTATTCATGCATTAATTTTATGTCATGTTATGTAATTGTTAGATGTAATTTGCTCCCATGTTTAGATATTTGGTTCTGTTGTGTATTTTCCAGAGTGGATACTGTGAAGTTCATACTCAAGGACTGGCTGCTGAGTATCAGGAAGAGTGGCAGGGTTACCAATATGCAGATCAAATTGGGTATCAAGAGCCGTACCTTCAGCCTGGAATGGAGGGTTACGATGTCCAACCAGAAACTGGTGTTTTACAAGATCCTCAACTCATGTCTCAGGAAGAGAAAGATAGGGGTTTGGGATCAGTGTTCAAGCGTGACGATCAAAGGCTTCAACAGTTGAGGGAGAGAGACGCACGAGAGAAAGATCCAACTTTTGTATCCGAGAGTTATTCAGAGTGTTACCCGGGTTACCAAGAGTACAACCATGAGATTGTCGGTAGCGATGAAGAAGCTGATTTGTCTAAGATGGACATGGGTGGAAAGGTATGTACGCCCTGAAATTATTTTATTTTTTATTCAATTGCGTATGAGCAAAATTTACAGTTTCTGGGTCATACATGAAACAGGCAAAGGGGGGTTTACATCGATGGGATTTTGAGACGGAAGAGGAATGGGAAAAATATAATGAGCAGAAGGAAGCAATGCCAAAAGCAGCGTTCCAATTTGGGGTAAAGATGCAAGACGGTAGAAAGACAAGAAAGCAGAACCGTGACCAGAAGCTCAACAATGATCTACACAAGATCAACAAGATTCTTACGAGAAAGAAGATGGAGAAGGAGGGTGGGGATGTTGGTTCTTTAGATGGTGGCGATGCACAGACTCCCAAGAGATCCAAGCATTGATTATTTTTAATATTTTGTTTTGCTGCTCTATTCTCTACTCAGTCTTTCATGAGCAATTCTATATTACCAACACTGTTTAGGTTTCATTTCGATTGTTAGTTTGTACCATGAGTATAGAAACATTTTCCATCCAAATGTTATACTTCTAAACTTTTTTTCCCTCTAAAGATATTTTATTTAAATTGGAAAAGTTACACAGCCTGCAGGCGACAAAATTTCTCCGGAAACAAAGCTGGCGACACGGCCAATAAAGGGGGCAATGACCACCCAAACAATCGGAATACAATACTAATGACCACCCAAACAATCGGAATAGAAGACTAATGACCACCCAAACAAATAAAAGATAACTGGCTAATGAGCAAGACGTTAAAGATTAAAAAATAGTTTAATTGATGATGTTGGAGGTGAAAACCGCACCTCGGTTTTCTCCGGTACAAACCGAGATCGGCATAACATAAGCTCGGTTTACGAAGGGATGTACCGAGAAAGATGGCCGAGTGAAAACACTGGGCCGAATGCAGCCCATTAGGCCGAGGTCGGTGAGAAGTCTCTCGAAGGAATGGAAGGCTTCTCTGAGCTCGGTCGAAATAGGAAGGTTTCCTAACGGAAAAAGGAAACCCTAGAGAAAAAAGAAAAGGAACCGAGAGAAAAAAAAAGTACTCTCGGTCCCATATCGTCTGAGGCGTGCTTAAAGACCGACTTAGAGGATATATATAAAGGGAGATGAATCGACACCAGAGAACACAAGATATTCCCAAGAAGACTTAAAGACTGAGAACTCAATACGCTAGCTTCTTAGTCGTCTTAAGTCTTAGTTCGTTATTATCTATCTGAATAACCGAACTCAGTTGTATTTTGCTTGATTCAATCTAATAAAAACCGAGTTTCCGATCTAAAAGTACTGTTTTGTCCCTTGTCGATATTTACATATCAACAATTGGCGCGCCAGGAAGGGGGTACTTAAACAGATTTCTCAAGCTTTAGATCGGACTTCGGAAAGATTGAATCAGCGATGGCAGACCAAGCCAACATTCACGAAGAAGGAAACCCTCTCGGTGGAGAGAACGCTAACGCCCCAACAGAACAAGGAGGAGGAACTCATGGAGGAAACGCAGGAACTATAGCCGGCCAAACCCCCGCAGCCGTAGGAGGTTATGGAACCGAACTACTGCTCCAAGTGTTCAATGCCCAGTTTGAGGCCATCAACAAAAGAAGCGAGGAGCGCTTCAGTCAGATGGCGGCACAAATCGCCGAGCTCAGTCAAGCACGAACTCCTCTTCGAGTTCGGAACATCATTGACGATCTTAATACCGACGGAGATCCAGCTGGAACTATGAGGTCTACTGCAGTCGGGTCAGCGAATGCACCAGCATCGGATTTAAGCCGAGACGCCGAGTTCGAAGCAATGAAGGCGCAGCTTCGCGATATCACTTCGAAGATACATCAAGCAACAAGCGCGGCTCCGGAAATCGAGCGCGTTATTCAGGAAACGCAGAAAACACCCTTCACACCGCGCATAGCAGGGACGCCGGTCAAGCACATGGAGAAACTGAAGATAAAAGTCTACGAGGGCAATTCCGACCCTCGACACTTCTTGACATCGTTCGGCATCTGCATGAACCGATACCAGTTCAAATCAGCCGAAGAGAGAGACGCAGTTCAGTGCCAACTATTTGTGGAAAGCTTGGGAGGAGTAGCTCTCGACTGGTTCTCGCGACTCGAAGCCAATTCAATCGATAACTACAAGGAGTTAACGACGGCTTTTGTCAAACACTTTTCCATGTTCATTGGACAAATCACCAAGAACTCCGAGCTCTGGCAAATAGCCCAAGTACCAAGCGAGAGCCTTCGCGATTTCATCCAGCGCTTCAAGACGATCGTCGCTAATTGTACGATTAGCGATGAAGCCGCTCTCCTATGTCTTCAGAAAGGAGCTCGGATAAAGACTAGCTTCCGGAGCGCGATCACTCATAACCCTCCACAGACATTAGAAGACGCGTTGCACCGAGCTAATACCTACATCGCCGAAGAGGAAGAAGAAGCCGCTTACGAGCAGAGTTATTCAACGAAGCAACCCGAACGTCCAAAAACCGCAACCAATGAGCCGCAATCGGGATACGGTCGAGGGTATGAGAATCGCAAGAAGTTCTATGCTAATGCAATCCAACAACCGAACAAACAATGGAACAATAAGAGGGTCCGTGGTGAAGAAGATCAAGACGAATCATTGTTCTGCGAGTTCCATAACCGTAGAGGCCACAGCACCGAAGAATGCAGACATCTGCGAGAATACCTACTCGGCCTATATCGAAAGGAACCGATCTCGGTCGATGATCTCCGACGTTCGAACGCGTCTAAGAGCGGCGGGCAACTTTCGATTGACGATCTCCATCGTTCACATATGCCTCGACCAAACAATGAACAGCTTGAGAAAGCACTCGCCAAAGATCCACCAACTCCACCGGCTTTACCGACGTTACCACCGCCACCACCGAATCTGCCTGTTTTGCCCGAGCAACAGAAACGGAATCGTGATGACCGAGCACCAGAGAATCACGCTCCTAAGGCGCGGAAACGTGTCAACATGATAATGGGGGCAATCGAAGCTTGCAGTTATTCGGTCCGAGCCATCAAAGAGTACAGCAGACAGGCCGCCAGCGCGTCCAAAGCCCCGCTTGATCCGCCGAAGGGAACACCCTTGGTATTTACCGAGGCCGATACAATCGGGCTGCATAAACCACATAACGACGCCCTCGTTGTCGAGCTGCTCCTCGACGACGTCGAAGTTAGCCGCATTCTGGTCGATACGGGTAGCTCTTAACATTATCTTCAAGGAAGCACTTGACCAGCTCGAGTTGGTATCAGATAGGATTAAACCGTTTATCGAACCACTTACCGGATTCGATGGAGAACGTTGTATGACGGTCGGCATGGTCCACATTCCGATCTACCTCGGCAGAGTCGCAAGGATTATCCAGTTCCTTATCCTCGATAAACCGGCGATCTACAACGCTATTCTCGGAACACCTTGGCTACACGCAATGAAAGCAGTCACCTCGACGTACCATCAATGCCTAAAGTTCCCGACTCCTAACGGTGTTTACACTCTCCGAGGAAACCAAGCCGTTGCTCGATCGTGCTACATAAACGAGTGCACACTTCATTCGGCCAACCAAGCTTGTGTTATTAGCTCGTTAGGACCGACTGACAAGCTCATCGTCCAGAATATAAAACCTAAACAGGAGTCGATCGTTCAAGTTTGCATCGACGAACTAAGGCCAGAACGTCAAGTCGGAATCGGCGCCGAGCTCGACCCAGTCATCCGCGAGCCACTCATTCACTTTCTGAAACAGCATTCATCGACCTTCGCTTGGTCGGTAGAAGATATGCCCGGGATTGATCCACAGATCGCGTGTCACGAGCTCAACATTGATCCAACATATAAGCCAATCAAGCAGAAACGCCGAAAGCTCGAACCAGAGAAAGCACAAGCCGTGAACGATGAGGTCGAGCGTTTACTCAAAGCCGGATCCATCACCGAAGTCAAATACCCAGATTGGTTAGCAAACCCCGTGGTCGTAAAAAAGAAGAATGGTAAATAGAGGATCTGCGTCGACTTTACCGACCTCAATAAGGCGTGTCCGAAAGATAGCTTTCCGTTGCCTCATATCGACCGCCTCGTGGAAGCAACTGCCGGGAACGAACTACTCTCGTTTATGGACGCGTTCTCCGGGTATAATCAGATTCTTATGCATCCGCAAGATCGGGAGAAGACATCGTTCATCACGGATCGTGGCATCTACTGCTACAAGGTCATGCCCTTTGGCCTGAAGAATGCTGGAGCAACGTACCAACGACTGGTAAACCGGATGTTCGCGAGCCAGCTCGGGCGAACTATGGAAGTTTACATCGATGATATGCTCGTGAAGTCACTTGTCGCTTCCGATCACGTCGGCCATCTTCGCACATGTTTTGATATCTTGGATCAGTATGGTATGAAGCTAAATCCAACTAAGTGTACCTTCGGCGTGACATCTGGAGAGTTCCTCGGATACATTGTTACACGGCAAGGCATTGAAGCTAATCCAAAGCAGATCGCCGCTATTCTCGAGCTCTCGTCACCGACAACCAAATGTGAAGTTCAGCGACTTACCGGACGTATCGCAGCACTTAATCGATTCATATCCACATCGACGGATAAGTGCTTGCCTTTCTACCAACTTCTTCGCGGTAACAAGCATCTCGAATGGAATGAGAAGTGTGAGGAAGCCTTCGCCGAGCTAAAGAAATACTTGTCCACTCCTCCAGTTTTATCCAAACCAGAAACCGGCGAGACACTTTATCTTTACATCGCGATTTTGGAGTTCGCAGTCAGCAGTGTTCTCGTTCGAGAAGATCGCGGCGAACAGAAGCCAATTTTCTACACAAGCAAATCCCTCGATGGATCGGAGTATCGTTATCCGACTTTGGAGAAATTCGCCTTTGCCGTGGTCATTTCTGCACGGAAGTTACGCCCGTACTTCCAGTCTCACGCGATCGTGGTCCTAACCGATTACCCTCTTCGTACTTTCCTCCATAGCCCAAGTCAGTCTGGACGACTCGCTAAGTGGGCTATCGAACTCAGTGAATATGACATCGAATACCGAGGCAGAACAGCAACGAAGTCCCAAGTCCTAGCAGATTTCTTGGTCGAACTCCCACCGGAGCTCGTCGAAGATAATCCGGTTGTACAACCCTGGATTCTTCACGCCGATGGTTCATCATCCCATAAAGGATCCGGAGTCGGAATTCGTCTCAAATCACCCGAAGGAGAGGTTATCGAGCAGTCATTTCGACTCGGCTTCCCGGCATCTAACAACGAAGCCGAGTACGAAGCATTGGTTGCCGGATTATGACTCGCCAAAGGCATCGGCGCCGAGCACGTACACGCCTACTGCGACTCTCAACTCGTGGCTAACCAGTTTCACGGCGAATACGAGGCCAAAAGCGACCGCATGGACGCATATCTCAAAGTTCTTAAGGATATTGCTTCGGAGTTCTCTACCTTCGAGCTTACGAAGATACCTCGAGACGAGAATGCAACCACCGACGCCTTAGCCGCTCTCGCGACTAATTCCGATCCCGATCTTCGGCGAACTATCCCAATTGCAGCAATCGAGCGACCAAGTATCGAGCACGCCCCGAACTGCAACATCATTACGAGACGACGCGATTACAAAGCCCAACCCAACCTTGCTCCGCCCTCACCCGAAAGACGAAACCTAAAGAGGTCATTCCCGATCATAACGACGACACGGACGAGCTCCATGACAACGAATCCGAGCCCGAGGACGAATCCGAAGGCCAGAATGTCCCAATCGATATCGAAGCAGAAGGAGAGGATGAACCCGAAGATTGGACTTTAGAAATTGTGGGATACATTGGAGATGGAACAGTCCCCGCAGATAAATGGGCAGCTCGACGCCTAAAGGCTCGTGCAGCTCGATACGTGGTCAGTAAGGGTACTCTCCTCAGATGGGATGCGTCCGGAGTACTCTTGACATGCGTTCACGGCAACGACATCACGGAAGTAATGCAAAAGGTCCATGAAGGAGAAGGAGGAAATCATTCTGGAGCTCGGTCTTTGGCCTTTAAGATCAAGAAAGCTGGCTATTACTGGCCTACTATGCTCTCCGATTGCGAAAAGTATACGGCACGCTGCGAGAAGTGCCAACGTCATGGTCCAATGATCAATCTTCCTACCGAGCTCCTGATGACCTCGACCGCACCATATCCTTTCATGCGCTGGGCAATGGACATCATCGGTCCTTTTCGCCTATCTACAACTCAGAAGCAATATGTTCTGGTCGTCACGGATTACTTCACGAAATGGGTCGAAGCCGAAGCATACCCCGAGATTCATGGAATTGATGTCAAAAATTTTGTCTGGAAGTTCATCATCTACGAGATCGTTACAGACAACGGAACCCAGTTCACTTCGATCATTTTCCAAGATTTTTGTGCCAAGTGGAAAATCCGACTAAGTTTCTCTACCCCGCGGTACCCGCAAGGAAACGGACAAGCCGAAGCCACAAACAAGACCATCATTGACGGACTAAAGAAACGACTCGACACCGCTAAGGGAACTTGGGCAGACGAACTTGACGGCGTCTTGTGGTCTCACCGAACTACACCACGACGTTCGACCGGTCAGTCACCATTCTTCCTTGCATATGGCACAGAAGCTATGTGTCCAGCCGAACTCAACGTCCCAAGTATTCGCCGAACTATGCTTACCCAGCAACCCGACGCGAATGACAACATGATGATCGACGCACTCGACTTAGTCGAAGAACATCGCGAACGAGCATTGCTCCGGATACAGAACTACCAACAACTTGCAGCTCGCTAGTACAACAAAAAAGTTAAGGGCCGTCACTTTGAAGATGGCGAATCTCGTACTTCGCAAAGTCTATCAAAACACAGAAGAGAAGAACGCAGGAAAACTTGGCGCGAACTGGGAAGGACCGTATCAGGTTATGAAAGTCGTTAAACCCGGTGTTTATCAACTTATGAAGTTAGACAAAACTCCGATCCCGCAATCTTGGAACTCAATGCATCTTAAACGATACTACTACTAGTTCGTTGCGAGCTCAAAAAAAAAAAAAAAAAAGCATCCGAACTACTTAGTCGGAGAAAAAACACTTTTGTACTTAGAACTACGAATGACTTGATCCCTTCAAAGGGTACGTAGGCAGCTCGTTACCGAGTCCAGCTATAACATCAATAAAATTTTATTAAGTGAAATCTGTCTTAAAGTTCTAGTTCGGAAATCACAAGGGACCGAACTCCTTGTTGTTACATCGACTTCCTGGCCAGTTGTTCGATAGCATTCAACATGAATGCAAACTTAAAAGCCGAGATCCGTCTCGCAAGCACCCACATGGTGTCGTGGTTAAGCCACATATCAAAAGCCGGGCCCAGTCCCGCAGTTGAATTTCTAAGTCACCAAGAACAATAAGCCGAGCATATCTCGCATACTTAGGTTCGACTTAGAAAAACCTTGAACTCGTTTTGTGCGTTTACAGGAGTTCAAATTATTTCACTCTTCCAGTACGAAACGATTCACTTGGGTTCCCCAGGCCGAGCTTAAACGCTCGCACAATAAGCCGAACTCCTCAGATTCGCACCATAAGCCGAGTTCACAACACTCGCAAAACGTAAGCCGAATTATCGCAATTCGCTATCGAAAAATAAAAGTTATGATTCGAATAACATCTACGATATACCGATCTAGTACTTAAGCATTAATCACAAATCGTTACCGACGTAAGAGGGTCAAAAGTTAAGTTAGATACCGATCTACTACTTTATGAAGACAAGAAAAAAGACGAACGAGCATATAATTAAAAGCCTCCCGAGAGGCAAATAAGTTCAAAAGGAACCCACCGAGGGTTAAGATAAACATAAATATTACAAAAATAACCCATGAAAGGGCAGCTGAGTTCGATTTAAGAGAAATCCGCTTGTCATCCTCCTCAGCGAAAGGAGACATCCGCTTGTCATCTTCAGTAAGGACGCAAGCATCAATCGAACGGAATTCCTCCAGGGCCTTGGCGTGCTTCGCCTCGATGTCCGCTACCATATCGGGTGGAACCTCATACAAGCCCTTCTTTTTGAGCTGCTTGATAAAACGAGGACTCCGGTGAGCTGGTTGTAGATTAGGTACGGCTTACGAGCTCGGTCAGCATCATCCAAGCTCCGGATGACTTTCTCTAAGCGCTCGCAGGCCTTCGCGTGAACGCTCTTAGCTCGATTCTTCCAGTGCGATACCAAATCCCGCAGCCGCTCTCGATCCCTCTCGAACTCTTGAACAAGCATGTTCTGGGCCTCGGTGAGCTCCTTTCTCACCGCTTTTAGTTCAGCACTCTCTTGCTTCAGTAAATCAACTGAAGAATGGAGAGTGTCGTTGATTTGGAGCTCGGTGGCAAGGCGCTCTTCTGCTTTGGAGACCCTTTCCTCGAGCTCAGCAACCCTAACTTGCTCGTCATAGAGAGCTACCTCGTACGTGGCAACCAGAGTGTTGGTCTGGCTGGCGAGCTACCAAAAATAAAACATGGGTTAGAACTCATACTTACGAAAAATATCAAAATAAAGAAAAGGAATAGAGGAAGTACCACGGCAGTTGTGCGAGCAATCCCCTTGTACAAGTTGGGGAACCGGAGCTCGGAGATAGCCGGAAGACTCGGCACATCAGAGGAGATCTTGTGATAAAGATCGGCGCAAGCGTCGACGTTCTCCTCAAAAGGACCCTCTTCGTCGTAATCAAAGCACACCTTGGTCCTTTTGGCTGGCTCCGGTCCTGGAGAGCCTTCGGCTTGGTCTCTCATCTGCCTCTTCCGAGAGTGAGAAGCTTCAGCCTGGTCGTGAGGAATTGCGAGGTCCGACGTCGCGATTGTAGGAGGCTCGAGCTCGATAGCTGCGTCCTGTGCTCGAGAAGAGTCTTCAATCTTTTTAATCTTTTTAGAAGACTTCTTCTTCTTCGTCTTCTTCTGACCAGCTTGGTTAGGTGAGTTCGCAGCAGGCAGCACCTCCTCTGGCTGCTTATTAGTCCCTTCGGCAGCAGGGACAGGGGTCGGATCTGCCACGTCTAGCTCCTCTGTGTCAAAGAGAGTTGGGATCTCGTCTATTGAGAGCATCCTGGCGGTTCGGGTGTGTTGAGCTCGCGACTTCGGTGCTTTGCGTTTAGGAGCGGCTCGAGGCTTGCTAGCTCGAGCTTTTGGCTTCCGTGGTTTTGGTTCGCGAACAGAACCTGCAATGAGAATCTGTCAAAGGAGGATATCGGAGTAAATAAAGAAGTAGAACGAGTAAAGGCAGAATTTAATAAACGAACCTGCTTTCTTAGCTCGGCGCTGAAGAATTTCTTCCCAAACCTCAGGCCAACGACGCTTACCGGCTTCACTGAAGGCTTCTTCGAACTCAGAGGTAAGTCCGGAGTTAAGGATAATGCTCGGGAGATGACGACCTGCGAAAGATGGAACAAAAGAAAGTTAGTCAAATACAAAGTCAAAAATTAGTACAAGTATAAGCTCGTCTGGTTCACCGATCGGAATCTTCCACTCCGATTAAGTTGGGATGTCAGAGTTGCTGACGGTGAGATCGTTCATCTCCAGATAAAAGTAGAGAGATTCCCAGTCGTTGAATTTACTGGGCTTCGGTCCAGTAACGATGTTCTTCTTCGGCTTAGCGTTTGCAGCGAAGAACCACTCCTTAGATTTGTGGATGTTAACCGAGAAAAGGTCCTCAAAAAGCCGACTGGTTGGAGTCTTGCCGAGCTCATCACAAAGAGATACGAACCCTACGTAGTTCGTTATCGAAGCTGGCATCACCTGCGTAAGAGCAACACCACGACGATTGCAGTAGCCGAGCAGGCGAGAAAGAATTGGGAAGGAGAGCCCGCACTGCATAAAATACGTCAGATAGATGCAGATGAAGCCCTCGGGGACGTCCCATGGCCGATCTCCAGCTTCTGGGACGATAAATATAACTTTGTCTTCAAGTCCGTTTTCTTCAAGCACGGCACGAACGGCGCCAGGAGAAACAGAAGAAGAAGGTACGGTGTGGGGGCAAACGACTTTTCGTTTCGGAAGAGGTGGTGAAGCGTGAATTATCGCTTCGAGATCGTCTTCGGCACCTCTTGTTTCAGTGACGTTCTCCTCGTCATTGTTTTCCTCAATTTCTTCGACCCCTTCAATCTCTTCGATCTCCTCAATCCCGTGATCGACGTTATCGGTGTCCAACCCAGCGTGAGCATCCGTCTCACGAGCTTCTGGTTGTTCGGTCGCTTCGACTCGTGGTCGAGAACGGCTACTACTGGCACCAGCTGATTTTGAGTTTTTTCGGACTAACTGTGGAGGGCTATTCTCTTCTCGAGACGAGTTCGATAGATGAGGATTTGAAGAGGAAGAGCTCGGTTCTGAGGATTCGCGACGATCTTCCGGACGGATTTGGTTAGAAGAGGAGTTAGCTGAAGAGCTGGAAGACATTTTCGAGTTCGGAAAAGTAGATCTAAAGGGAATCTGGGAGAAATGAAGAACAGTATGAAGATTAACCCGAAAAGATTGAAGATTGATCGGAGAACTTGAAGATCGAATGGAAAACTTGAAGATAGCTCGGAAAAATCAAGGATTCACGGCGGCGAGAGTTGAAGGAACGAGAGAAAACTAAGAACAAAAACTAGAGAGAGAAATGAAATCTAGAGAGAAGGGAGAGCAGCGTACCTTATATATGCTTGAGGCGAGAATAATGAATGCGAGAAGAAGTTTACCCTTTATACACAGTGGGAATCGTGGGTTCCTCGATTTTCGCGAAGATCCCGTAATTCACGCGCCTCATTGAAGACAGGGTGCAAAACGTCCGGGAATGCGAATCGATTGCAGTTACCGATCTCAGTTTGTGACTTACTTTGAGAAAAACAAGTTCGACTGAAAGTCTCTTCCTTTCACCGAACTGAGGGGGGGGCTAACTGTTGGAGGTGAAAACCGCACCCCGGTTTTCTCCGGTACAAACCGAGATCGGCATAACATAAGCCCGTTTTACGAAGGGATGTACCGAGAAAGATGGGCCGAGTGAAAACACTGGGCCGAATGCAGCCCATTAGGCCGAGGTCGGTGAGAAGTCTCTCGAAGGAATGGAGGGCTTCCCTGAGCTCGGTCGAAATAGGAAGGTTTCCTAACGGAAAAAGGAAACCCTAGAGAAAAAAGGAAAGGAACCGAGAGAAAAGGAAAGTACTCTCGGTCCCATATCGTCTGAGGCGTGCTTAAAGACCGACTTAGAGGATATATATAAAGGGAGATGAATCGACACCAGAGAACACAAGATATTCCCAAGAAGACTTAAAGACTGAGAACTCAATACGCTAGCTTCTTAGTCGTCTTAAGTCTTAGTTCGTTATTATCTATCTGAATAACCGAACTCAGTTGTATTTTGCTTGATTCAATCTAATAAAAACCGAGTTTCTGATCTAAAAGTACTGTTTTGTCCCTTGTCGATATTTACATATCAACAGATGAGGACATGGCCCCTAAAGATACTTTTCCAACCATGAAGAACCCTCCAAAGACAAGATCGGGACTTAGGAAGCTTAGAGAAGAGTTCAAAAATGCCATGAACACCCTGATCAACCAAAGCAGCTTAGAAGACATCACCAAAGGCATTGCTCAACTCGGCCTCGAGCAACCGCTTCTCAACCAAGTAGCAATGAGTTTAACGGAGGACAAGATGCTATTCATACAAGACAAGGACCAGAGCGAGGAAGAACTAAAGCTTGAAGATCAAGATCATGGCGATACAAGCATCAAGTCTACACCAAATGAGGAATGGCCATTAATAAAGACTCAAGGAGCTCGCATGATCTAAGTGTCAAAACGACACCAAGGTGAGTGTTTGGTTTAATTATAATTTTAAACTAACGAGTTTCCCTCTCTTTGTTTTGCAGAATTTGTCTTAAGGTCCTTATTAGTTATATTTCCTTTTAATTTAGTCGAGAACTTTAGTAATGTTTCCATTTTGCTTTATTTACTTTTTCAAGAGTCTATAGCAAGTTTTCTTTCCTTTTCTTGAGTCTCTGTCGACCCTAGAAGGTCAAGGCCGAAGGACTGTTTATAAAGTCCCACGTGCGGCATTGTAAGACACAACTTTTTACCCTAAATAAATAAAGAGCGTATTTTCTTAGAGCAGCCACCTCTCTCTCCGAGTTCTTGAACATTTGTGTGGTTTCCCCTTGTGTTCTTGAGTTCACCGACTTATCACAGCCTCTCCATCAGCTGTGTGGCGTCACATCGATCCCTTGGTCCTTTGTTCTTCGTTCATTCGCTAATCTAAGTAAAGAGAGCCTCTCGGCCAGTTACTTAGGTTCCATCCCTCCGCACTTGATCATATTTTCATCTAAGTGAAGAGAGCCTCTCGGCCAATCACATGGATCCACCCCCACTACCCCCGATCTTATATCAGTTTGGTATCAGAGCCGAAAGGTTCTACATCAGGTGATATCTATCCACTTTCGAATTCCTTGTTGTTTAGTTTTCATTTCTACTATTGTTGCTTAGTCATAACTCGTCAAAAAAAAAAAAAAGAATCATCTCGTTTAAAGTTTGCTTTAGCTTGTTTCCAAATCATTCAAAAAAAAAAAAATCATTCTGCCTCTAGTTAAATCCCGCAATAGATCATCTAGTCGAGTCACAAGAAAACAAAAACCCTAAAAAGAAAGTTTAGTTTGGCTTAAGCAGTTTGCGTCTAGGTCAAGTTCTTTTAACTTTTTTTTACATCATTGCGTTTGAGTTCTTGTTGTTTTTGTTACATTTTCAGTAATGGAGGATCAACCCATAGCCCCGCGAGATACAATTTTGCAAGCTATCGCCGCAATGAGGCAAGATATGGCTACACAACTAGGCCGTGTGGAGGAGAGAGTTGGCCGATTAGAGGTGCCAAGGAGAGAAGCTGCACGGCCCATACCCGTTCAGCAACGACAGAATGTTCAACAAGACGATGAAGAGATGCCTGAATTAGAGGAAGAGGCGCCAAACCCTCGGAGACAAAGAGACCCTCCTGATTTACCACAGAATCAAAGGATGAGAGACCCTATTAACCGCGGCCGCATTAGAGAGGAAGAGATCTTCAACCGAGGCTGCAATCGAGAAGACGAAGGAAACAGGCCAAACCATAATGATATTAAGCTAACTGCACCTACTTTTGCTGGCAGGGTAAATCCTGAAGCTTACTTGGATTGGGAGCAAAGGATGGAACATATCTTCGATTATTACTCCTACAATGATCAGAAGAAGGTGTCCTTGGCCGTGGCTCAGCTAACTGATCATGCACTTTCCTGGTGGGATCGAGACGTGGCTGAAAGACGAAGGCACCGCTATGAACAGATCACTAGTTGGGACGCCATGAAATTCTACTTAAGAAAGAGGTATGTGCCACCACATTTTCATAGAGACTTACAAAAGAAATTTCGAAAGTTGGTGCAGGGAAACAAGTCCGTTGAGGAATATTTTGAGGAGTTTGAGCAAATCTGAAACCAGCTTGAGCTAGCTGATACCGAAGAGACCCTCATGGCTCAGTTTCTTGATGGACTACAAGACCGAATAGCCAGAAAGGTGGAGAGACAGCCATATCACGACATGAGTGACCTTTTACATCTGTCTATTCAAGCGGAGCAACACATCAAGCGTAAAACCACTGCCACCAATCGAGCAAGGAGCAACAACACTTGGGCACCACAGCCACCAAAAGTGTTTGACAAGGGAAAAGCCGTGGAGAATGACTTACGGTTCAAGAAAGCCGCGCAAGAGAATTCCAAAGACAACTCTAAGTTGTCTCGATCGGAAGCAGGTAAGTTTCCTAGCACTTCACGAGCTAGAGGCGTCATCTGTTTTAAGTGTCAGGGGCGAGGCCATATGGCGAGAGAGTGCCCAAACCAAAGGACCATGATCCTAACCTTAACCGTAGACTATGAGTCTCAAGATGAGCCCGATGAAGAGGAACCAGCTGATCAAGAAACCGAGATAGAGTACCCGGATACAGGAGAAATGCTAGTCATCAGAAGAGCTTTGAGTGCTCTAGTAGATCCAGAGACGGTCCAAAGAGAAAACATCTTTCACACACGATGTACCGTGAATGGCAAGGTATGTAGTCTCATTATAGATGGGGGCTCTTGCACTAACATTGCTAGTAAGTTCATGGTTGAGAAACTAGGTCTTGAGACGACCAAGCATCCAAAGCCATACCGACTTAGGTGGCTCAACGATGACACCAAGCTGAGAATCTCTCAGCAAGTCACTATACCTTTCAACGTGGGCAAGTACAATGACCGTGTGGTGTGTGATGTTGTCCCCATGCAAGTAGGTCACTTACTACTAGGGAGGCCCTGACAGTTTGACAAAGAGACGATGCACAATGGCAGGACAAACCACTACTCGTTCACTCACGATAAGAGAAAGTTCCAGCTAGCACCACTCACGCCTATGGAGGTTCATGAAATGCAAATGAAGTTTGCTAAAGACTCCAAGGTAAGTAAGACTAACTTGTTCATTACTCATACTACGGTCTCTAAAGCTTTACAACATAACACGCCTGTGCTACTAATGATCTTTAAAGAAGGGTTGCTTACAGGCTCTCATGAGTTAGAGCTTCCCCCCGAGATATCTTCTTTGTTAGACATGTTCAAAGACGTGTTCCCCGATGAGATACCAGCTGGATTACCACCTATAAGGGGAATAGAGCATCAACTCGACCTGGTGCCCGGGGCTGCATTGCCAAACCGTGGAGCTTATCGCATGAACCCCACCGAATCAAAGTAATTAGAGAAACAGATTCAAGATCTCATGTCTAAAGGTTACATTAGGGAGAGTCTTAGCCCGTGTGCTGTACCTGTTCTGCTAGTTCCCAAGAAAGATTGTACATGGAGAATGTGTGTAGATTGTAGGGCCATTAATAACATCACCATCAAGTATCGACATCCTATACCGAGACTAGATGACATGCTGGACGAGTTACATGGCTCAGCGGTCTTTTCTAAGGTGGATCTCTGAAGTGGTTACCATCAGGTGAGAATGAAGGAAGGCGACGAGTGGAAAACGGCCTTCAAGACCAAGCAAGGTCTATACGACCAAGCAAGGTCTATACGAATGGCTAGTTATGCCATTCGGCCTCACCAATGCCCCAAGTACATTCATGCGGCTCATGAACCATGTTTTAAGGGCATAAATCAGTAAGTTCGTAGTAGTATATTTTGACGATATACTTATTTACAGCAAGTGTTTTACTGACCACATACAGCACCTTGAGCAAGTACTAGAGACTCTCCGCAAAGAAGGTCTTTATGCAAATCTCAAGAGGTGCACATTTTGCACTAATGAGCTTGTGTTTTTAGGATTTGTGGTGAGTTCACAGGGTCTACGGGTGGATCAGGAGAAAGTGAGAGCAATACAAGAGTGGCCGACCCCAACAAGCATTGGGCATGTTCGGAGTTTCCATGGACTAG